TTAACTCACACAATCACAAGGTCCCACAATAGGCTGTCTGCAAGCTGAAGAGCAAGGAAAGCCAGTCCAAGTCCCAAAACTGAAGAACTTAGAGTCTGATATTCAAGGGCAGGAAAGGTCTAGCATGGGAGAAAGATGTAGGCTGGGAAGCTAGGCCAGTCTAGTCTTTTCACATTTTTCTGCCTGCTTTATATTCTAGCCATACTGGCAACTGATTAGATGGTACCCAGGCAGATTAAGATTGGGTCTGCCTTTCCCAGCCCACTGACTCAAATGTTAATCTCCTTTGGCAGCACCCTCACAGACATGCGCAGGGTCGATACTTTGAATTCTTCAATCCAATCAAGTTGATACCATCACAGGAGGAATTCCTCCCTAAAATATTCTATGAAACCAGAATCATCTGATATCAAAATTTGGCAGAGATATGATGAAGAAATAAAGCTTCAGGCTAATATCCCTGAGGAGCATAAATGCAAAAATCTTCAAAAAAATACAAGCAAAGCAAATCCAGCAGCACATCAAAAGGTTAATCCACCATGACCAAACAGGCTTTATTCCTGGGATGCAAGCTTGGTTCAACATACATAAATCAATAAATGTAATTCAGCATATAAACCAAATTAAAAGCAAGGTGTGATCATCTTAAAAGATGCAGAAAAGGTTTTCAAGAAAATCCAACATACCTTCATGATAAAAATCCTTGACAGACTAGGCATCAAGGAAACAGATCCCAAAATTTTAAGAGCTCTGTATGTCAAACCCATATAGCCAACATCATAATGAATGGGCAAAAGCTGAAAACATTCTTCTTGAGAAGTGGAACAAGGCAAGGATGCCCACTCTCACCATTCTATTCAATTGGAAGTCTTAGCCAGAGCAATCAGACAACAAAAAGAAATAAAAGGCATCTAAATTGGAAAAGAAGTCAAACTAATTCTCTTTGCTGATATAATTCTATGTTTAGAAAACCCTAAAGATTATGAAAAAGCTTCTAGAACCAGTAAATATTTTTAGCAGAGTTTTAAAATACAAAGTCAGTAGCATTTCTATACACCAATAACATACAGTCTGAGAGCCAAATAAAGAACATAATCCCACTTACAATAGTGGCAATAAAAATGAAATACCTAGGAACATAGTTAATCAAAGAGGTGAAGGATCTCTACAAGGAGAACTACAAAACACTGCTGAAAGAAATCAGAGATGACAGAAATAAATGGAAAAATATACCATGCTCATAGATGAGAAGAATCAATATCATTAAAATGGCCATATCCCCAAAGCAATCTATAGATTCAATGCTACTCTTATCAAATTATGAACATCATTTTTCACACAACTAGAAAAAACTAAAAACTATTCTAAAATTTGTATGTAACCAAAAAGGAGCTCAAATAGCCAACACAATCCCAAGCAAAAGAGCAAAGCTGGAGGCATCAACACATTACCTAACTTCAAACTACAAAGTTATAGTAACAAAAACAGCACAGTACTGGTACAAAAACAGACAGATGCATAGACCAAAATAACAGAACAGAAAACTCAGAAATAAAGTTGTACACCTACAATCATCTTATCTTCAACAAGGTTGACAAAAACATGCAATGGGGAAAGAAGCTCCTATTCGATAAATGGTGTTGGGATAACTGGCTAGCCACAGACAACCTACAGAATGGAAGAAAATATTCACAAACTATGTATCCAATAAGAGACTAATATCCAGAATCTATAGCAAAAAACAAATAACTTCATTAAACAATGGGCAAAGGACGTGAACAGACACTACACAAAAGACAACATACAAGCAGGCAACAAACACGAAAAACTGTTCATCATCACTAATAATTAGAGAAGTGCAAATCAAAACAACAATGAGATACCATCTCACACCACTCAGAATAACTATTATTAAAAAGTCAAAAACAAAAAAAAACAAGAGGCTAGTAAGGCTATGGAGAAATGGGAGCACTTATACAACATTGGTGGGAATGTAAATTAGTTCAGCCACTGTGGAAAGCAGTTTGGAGATTTCTCAACTTAAAAATGAGCCACCATTTGACCCAGCAATCCTAGTAGTGGGCATATACACAAAGGAAAATAGATCATTATACCAAAAAGACATGTGCACTCATGTTCACTGCCATGTGCATTAGTCTGTTCTCATACTGCTAACAAAGACATATCCAAGATGGAGTAATTTATAAAGGAATGAGGTTTAATTGACTCATAACTCAGCATGGCTGGAGATGCCTCAGGAAACTTACAATCATGGTAGAAGGGGAAGCTAACATGCCCTTTTCCACATGGCAGCAGGAAGGAGAAGTGCAGAGTGAAGGAGTGAATAGAAGCCCCTTATAAAGCCACCAGATCTCATGAGAACTCACTCGCTATCCCAACGATAGCAGTATGGGGGTAACTGCCCCCATGATTCAATTACCTCCCACCAGACCCCTCCCATGACATGTGAGGATTATGGGAACTACAATTCAAGATAAGATTTGGGTAGGGACACAGCCAAACCACAACACCATGCTATTCACAACAGCAAAAACATGTAATCAACCTAGGTGCCTATCAATGGTGGATTGGACAAAAGAAATCTACATATACACCATTGAATACTACAGAGCCATAAAAAAGAATGAAATCATGACCTTTGCAGAAACATAGATGGAGATGGAGGCCATCATCCTAAGCAAATCCACACAGGAACAGAAAACCAAATGCTACATATTTTCATTTATAAGTGAGAGCGAAAAACATCGAGCATACATGGACATAAGCATGGGAACACTAGACATTGCAGATTATTAGAGTGGTGAGGGAACAAGAGGGGGGAATTGGTTGAAAAACTGCCTATTTGGTACTATGCTCACTATCTGGGTGCAATATACCAATGTAACAATCCTTCACATGTGCCCCCTGTATTTAAAATAAAAGATGTATTTTTTTTTAGAAAAAAAGAATGCAACAGGTAATATTACTACAGACCTGTAGACACTAAAAAGATAAGGCTATTCATGCATAAATTTGGCATCTTAAATGAAATATACCAACTCCTCAAAAAAACCCACAAACTACCATGACTCACCCAATCTGAAATAGATCATTTGAACAGCCCTATAACTATTAAGAAAGTTGAATTTGTAATTTAAAAACTTCCCCAAAAGAAATCTTCATGTCCAAATACTTAAACTGGAGAATTCTAAGTTTAAAGAATAATTACCACCAATTCAACACAAGATTTCCAGAAAATCAAATGGAAAGGAAAATTTTCTGATTCACATTATGAAGCTAGTATATCCTGATACTAAAACCAGAAAAAGACAGTACAAAACTACAGAAAAATAATCTTGATGAATAGAGAGAAAAAAATTCTTAATGAAATATTAGCAAATAGAAGTCATCAATATATAAAAGGAATTTCTCACTATGCCAAGGAAGGTTTATTTCAGAAATGCAATTCTGATTTAATAATCCATAATCAGCCAATGTAATGTACCATATTAACAAGCTAAAAAGAAAATCACACGATCATCAATCAATGTAGACAGGCTTCTGACAAATTTCCACCACCATTCATGATAAAAATTCATGAAAAAGAGGAACAGAGAGGAACTTCCTCAACTTAATAGAGTATCTATAACATATCTACAGGTAATATTATACTTTACATTGAAAATCAAGCAAGAAGCTCAGCTCTCAGCACTCTATTTAAATAGTATTGGATGTTCTAGCCATGCAATAAGGCAAGAAAATGAAATAGGCATACTGATCAGAAATAAATGAAACTGCCAACATTTTATTATTTATAAGATGAAATTATTAGGTGAAATTATTTTGCCATTATTAAAAGTAATGTCAAAAACCACAATTACTGTTACACCAATATAATATCATCTCCATAGAAATTCTCAAGGAATCTACCAAAACCTCTTAGAACTAATAAGTAAGGTTACAGGATATAGCTAAACATGTAAAAATCTATTAGTAGCAATGAACAGGAGGATATTGAGATTAAAAATACAGTATCATTTAAAATCACTAATAAAGGAAATATGTGTAAATCTAACAAAACAAATTACATATTGAAAACTATATACAATTTTGATCAAAGAAACTGAGGTTCTAAATAAATAGAGACAAATTGTGCCTTGTAATAGAAAACTCAATGTAGTAAAGATACCAGTTGTCTCCAATTAAATATACAGTTTTAACACAATTACTATCAAATTTCCAACAAGATTTTTTATTGATATAAACAAGATTATTCTAAAATATGGAACTACCAAGGAGCTAGAACAGCTACAACAATTTTACAAAAGAATAATAAAGTAGGAGGAATTAGTCTACCAGACTTAAGGGCTCAATATGTAGCTACAATAATCAAGACTGTAGTATTGGTGAAAAGATTGACATATAGATCAATGGAACCGAATACGGAACCAAGAAATATCCACACAAAGATGCCCAAATGATCTTGACAAAGGTCAAAGCAATTCAACTGAAGAGAGACAACCTTTTCAACAAATGATACTACAGTAAATGAAAAGGCAGGCTATACACAAGGAAAAAATATTTCCAAACCACATATCTGACACAGCACTAATATATAGAATATGTAAAGAATTCTCAAAATTCAACAGTAAAGCAAACAATCCTATTGAAACACACGCAAAAGGAGACATTACACCAAACAAGATATACATATGGCAAATAAACCCATAAAAGATGTGCTTATTAACTTAAACTACACTATGCTAACTCATACCAGACACACAAAAACACATGTGTACATGTGCAAACACACACACACAGATTAACTCCAGGTGTTTGAAGACCTTAAGGTTTATGTCTTCTCCTCTTTAACCCCTACAGTGTCTCTACATTGTCTGTGTTATAGTGAAGAAAACAGGGTATCTAATAGGTCCCTTAGTTCCTCTCTATTTCATGTTAATGAGAGAAAATAGGATCATACGCAAGAAAGAAATACAAACCAGCATCTCCTTCAACCTCTTTTTTCTTTACCCGTTTAATCTTCTTTTTTAGAACCTTCATGAGGAAGTTTGCAAATTTATTGTTTTCTCCAATGGCTGTTTGAAAACCAGCGTAGAGTGCCTTTTCTTGCTCCTGGAGTTTGGTGATTTCATTCTTTTTCTCTTCCATCTCTTTAAGAGTTTCATTTATTTTCCACTAAATGAATAAAAACAATGACAAATGATAAATATTTCTGATAAACCAAGTTCAGAGAGCTATGTGCTTTACAATGCAAGGTTACAGTTAACAAAATATTTTTTTTAAAACTTCTTAAAAGAAGTTTACATTTCTGGCCAGGCATTGTGGCACACGCCTGTAATCCCAGCACTTTGGGAGGCCAAGGTGGATGGATCATGAGGTCAGGAGATCGAGACCATCCTGCCAGCAAGGTGAAACCCTGTCTCTACTAAAAATACAAAAATTAGCTGGGTGTGGTGGCACATGTCTGTAATCCCAGCTACTAGGGAGGCTGAGGCAGGAGAACTGCTTGAACCCAGGAGGCG